TGCGAGTTTCAGAGTCTCTTCTCGTACTCATTATGGTCTTTTCTTTCTTTGATACCTGTCTTTGGAGTGACCTTTTGCTTTCTTCATGAATAATGTCCTTGATGTCATCCCATAACTAATTAGTGTTCAACACTGTAATCAAATCTGTCAGAGGTTTTAAAACTTAGTTGGGATACATACAAGGTCATATTTCTGTCTTCCTGGACTCTTTTTCCATTTTTTACATCTTCAGTTTGAACCTGCAGCTGTTTCTCCTCATTTTGAGTCTTGCTACATCAGTAAATGAAGATTCTTTACTGAATGAAAGCTTCTACTCCATCCTTATAGAGGAAGACTCTACTTTAAAGAGGTAGCTCTTCCCCAGTTACACTGTGCATGCCTTTCAACCTGAAGGGTTTATCTTCCAACAGTGTTGTTGTTGTTGTTATGTGCCATCGAGTCTTTTGCGACTCATAGCGACCCGATGTACAAGAGCTCTAAACTTTCCTCTATCCTGTGCCAACCTAGCCATCTCAAACACACTCATTCCCACTGCTCCAGTCCCAGAATCGATCCATATCATCTAAGGTCTTCCTCTCCACCCCTCCACTCTGCCAAATATGATGTCTCTCTCCAAGGACCAGTCCCTCCTTGCAACATGCTTAAAGTATGTCATATGAAGCTTCAGAATCCTTGACTCCAAGGAGCATTCCGGCTTCACCCTCTCCAGGACAAACCTGTTTGTTCTCCTGGCAGTCCATGGTATATTCAACACTCTTCTCCAGCAACAAAGCTCAAAGGCATCAATTATCTTTCTATCAATCCTGATGCCACATTCCTCTTCGTACAGCCCAGCGTCTCGGATGATCTGTTCTGCATCCAGATTGAAAAGGTATGGAGACAGAATACATTGCTGACAGACCCCCTTCTTGATTTTGAACCATGTAGTGTCTCCTTGCTCTGTTCTGACGACTGCCTCTTGGTCCAAGTATAGGTTCCACATTAGCACAATCAAATGTTCTGGGATTCCCATTCTTCTCAGAGTCAGCCACAGCTTGTTGTAATCCACACAGTCAAAAGCATTTGCAGAGTCAATGAAGCACTAACAGACATTCTTCTGGTATTCTTTGCTTTCTGCCAAGATCCATCTACCATTAGCTACAATATCCCTAGTACCACAACCTCTTCTAAATCCAGCCTGTACATCTGGCAGTTCTCTGTTGACCTATTGTTCCAAAAGTTTTTGGATAATTTTCAGCAGAATCTTGTTTGCATGTGATATTAATGATATTGTTTGATAATTTCCACACTCTGTTGGGTCACCTTTCTTTGGAATGGGAACAAATATCAATCTTTTCCAGTCAGTGAGACAGGTGACTGTTCTCCAGATTTCTTGTCACAACTTAGTGAGCCCATCCAGGGCGGTGTCTGTTTGTTCAAATATGTCAATTGGTATGCCGTCTACTCCTGGAGCCTTGTTTTTTGCCAATTCCGTCAGAGCAATTTGAACTTCCTCCTTCATCACCATAGGCTCTTGCTCATATGTCATTTCATTAAATTCTTCTGTGTCAGCCAATACACAGAGTCAGGGACTCTGTGTATTCCTCCCATCATCTCTTGATACCTCCTGGATCATTTAACATTCTACCCAAAGTATCATTAAGAATTGCCACCCGTGGCTTGAATTTGTTTTTCAGCTCCTTCAGCTTAAGAAACACTGAACGAGTTCGGCCCTTTTGATTTTCTGACTCCAGCTCTCTGCACATTTCAATATAGTATCTTGCTTTGTCATCCCGGGCTGCCTTTTGAAATTTTGTTTAGCTCTTTGATTTCTTGCTTTCTTCCTTTAGCTTTGGCTTCTCAGCACTCTAATGCAATATTCAGTCTCATCTGACATCCATCTTGGTCTTTTCTTCTTTTTTCAGACTTTGTAATGATCTTTTGCACTCTTCATGGATGATTTTCTTGATATCCTCCCAGAGCTCGTTTGGCCTACGCTCATTGGTGCTCAAGGCCTCAAACCTGTTCCTGAGATGGTTTTGAAATTCGAGTGGGACAGACTTAAGATCAAATTTTGGTTTCCGAGGACTTGATTTAATTTTCCTAACTTCAGCTTGAACTTGCATATGAGTAGTTGGTGGTCTGTCCCACAATCAGCACCCAGCCTGGTTTTCACTGCTGATATTCTTCTATTATTCACAGTGTTTTCAAAGGCCTATTAATAATGGTTCGAACCCACCAGATGCTCTGCCGGGGAAGGAGGGACAATCTCCTCCTGTACCAGTCAGATCTGATTTGACGGTACACGCACACAAAAATAAAATAAAAATTTAAAAAAAAAAAGGCCTATTAATGACTAAGGATGATAGAAAAATTGATGTTTTTGAGTTGTGGTGCTGGAGAATTGTACTGAATATTCCATGAACTGTCATAAGAACAAACAAGTACGTTTTGAAGATGGCAAACTTGGAGGCTAGAATGGTGAAGCTTTGTCTCACATACTTTGGGCATGCTGTTAGGAAGTGCTGGTCCTTGGAAAAGGACATCATGCTTGGAAAGGTAGAGGGAAGCGAACTCTCTGGCAGGTTTTCAATGGCAATTAATCACACAGGAAGTGACTGGCCATTCTTCTCCTGCAGAGCTGCTGGTGGCCTCAAACTGCATGCCTTCGGGGTTGCAGTGCAGCTTCTTGCCACTAGGCCACCAGTGCTCCCTAAACCATTTGAAAAAGATGGCAGATTGGAAGAAAACTCATTAACCTAAGATATGTAGAAGATACAGGGCTGCTGCTTGATAAAAGTGAAGAGGACCTGAAGCACTTAATGCTGAAGAAAGTTCAAAGAATAGTCTTCAGTACAATACTATACATCAGGATTATACCTGTTATACCTCAGATTTGAAAATTCTTGTCAAATTTAAGAGGTAATGTCTTTTGTTGTTATTGTTAGGTGTCATCAAGTCAAGTATGACTCATAATGACCCTATGAACAGTGGATATGAACCCTGTCCTATCCTGTGCCATCTTCACACTTCCTGACACACTAGAGTCTATTGCAGCAGTCACTGTGTCAATTCACCTGGTTAAGGGTCTTCCTCTCTTTCGCTGACCCTCCATCCTTCCAAGTATTATGTACCTTTCCAAGGACTATGTGAGGTGAAGGTTTACCATCCTTGCCTCCAAAGAGCATTCTGGCTGTACACTCTCCAAGACAAATTTGTTCTTCTGGTTGTCCATGGGATGTTCAGTGCTCTTCTCCAACAACATAGCTCAAAGGCAACAATTCTTCTTTTGTCATACCTATTCACTGTCCAGCTCTCAGATGCACAGTAAGTGATAGGAAAACCCTATGAACACTAGAGGAACGCAGATGACTTTTAGGTAGAGTTTAATAGCCCACAAGGTAGAATCAGAGTGGAACTGAGTAAGGTTTTGGCAATGCAAATATCTATCTTCAAGGAGAGGGGATAAAACCTGCAGGATTTTCTAATTTTCTTTTTTAAAAATTTTCTAATTTTCTTAATGCTAACAGAGCTTGACATATTAGTCAATAATCTGAGGAGAGGTGGGATTTTCTGGGAAATGAGCCATACAGAAAGGGTTATGAAAATTAAGTAAGCATGCAACTAGCTCCTCAAGATGGATACTGCTGAAGAGGCTCTGGGTCAAGAGTCACCACTTATTATGGGATGGCATATATGTGTAGTTTCTGTGAGTACCAGTTGTGTAGTTTCTGTGAGCACCAGTTTGAGGTCTGTTGCAGCTGAAGGCTCTCTGCTGCCTCTAACAGAAGAACATATAACAACTGGAGGACAGTGGACTGCACAAGCTGTTGTTGTTAGGTGCACCATGTAAAATTATATAACTGATAAAATAAATCAATGAAATCTGTAAATCAAAAGATGGATGGAATAAACATAGTACTAAAAAGAATTGGTCGACATTGAATGTTTTCAAGAAGTCACATACGATCAAGAATCAATGGTAGTGAAGCAAGAAGTCCAAGCTACATAAGACTCCAGGGATTGATGGAATAACCAGGTATTTCAGGATACAGAGGCAGCCTTGGATGTGCTCACTAGTTTGAGTCAATGAATCTAGAAGATACCTCAATGTAATGAAGATAAAATCCTTACTACTAGGACCAATCAACAACCCCATGATAAATGCCAAAAAGACTAAAGTTGTTAAACTTGGATCTACAATGCATGTCCATGGAAGTGGAACACGTTATGAACGGGCAGGATGTCAAGAACACCTTTCACTCACTCACTTACCTGTTCTCACTGCCAGAGACAGAACAAACTCAATGCTCACCCTCCATTGGGATTCTTAGGCTGAAAGTACATTATAAGAGATTTTGTCTATCTTTCTCCTTTAGAGCCACTGGTAAATTGAAACAGTCAGAGGTGAGGCCTTTGGGTTTGTGGTACAACTCCATACAGATTATGTCACAAAAGTTCTCAACAACATCAAAACCTCCATTTTCTAACCAATCTTTCAGCTTCCTTGTGACTTTCAACCAAACAACAGGAGACCAATCTGTTGCAAAAGATTAATGAAGACAAAACCAACACCCTGAAGCACAGAACAGGCGTGCTCACAGACTTATATTACCATGTTCCCCATAAAATGCATTTGAGAACTCTTGGCTTGAGCTAGTTTCCTAAGCATTATAATGTCTCATATAATGACTTATGAGATTAATCGTCCATAAAGGATGAAAAAGAACATAGTTTCCATGGCAGAGCATGTAGTCGTACCATAAGGAGATACGGACATGCAACATTCCAGAATAAGTCACACCACTCAATCACTGGAGCCTTTGCAATATTTCTTATACACACACTTGATTTCCAGAACCCTGCCTCTTCTCCCCACTTATTCACAGAATTCTTCATGAGTAAACATGATGCTCTTTCCTATCTAAAATCCCTTTTAAATTGCTTAAATTCACTGTTCTTAGTGATAGATTCTAACCCCTGTCTCTGCTTACAGGCTACCTCTGTTAACTGCCAGCTACCTCTGCTTAATAAAGCTTTGTTTGCATGGAAGAGCCTCTTCCGGTCAACCTTGGTTGGTAGAAGGTAAGAATCCTTCAGTGGAATAATTCCCAGCTGGGTGAGGGCCATTGTTCTGGCGACAGAAGCAGCAGTTAAGAAATCAAACTGTGTAATGCAGTATGCAAATACACTGCAAAACAGCCCTTTAAAGTGTTAAAGGGCAAAAATACCTCTTTGGACTAAGGTATCCCTGACTCAAGCAATGATATTTTCAAATGCCTCACATTCAAGCAAAATCTAGACAATTAATAAAGAACAAAGAATAGATGCCTTTGGATTATGAACGGCAAAGAACACTGACTGCCAAATACATGGACTGTCAAAAGAACAAAGAGATCTCTCTTGGAAGAATTACAGCTAGAACATTCTTAGCAATGAGAATGGTCAAACATTAGGTCATGTTATCAGGAGTAACCAGTGCCTAGATTAGGACACTCACTGTCCTTTAAAAGTAAATGTCAGTAAAAAAAAAAAAAAAAAAGAAGAAGAAGACCCTCAACAAGACGGACTAGTACAGGGGCTGCAACAATGGACTGAAACTGAACAATGATTGTGAGCATGGCACAAGACCACTCAGTGTTTTGTTTCTGATGTACATGGAGTTGATGTGAGTGCTATGTAAGAAAATATAAAAAAACTAAGGCATGTATTTAAGAATCTTTATAAGAATATTTAAAAATCTAAGTCGTCTCAAGATACTAACACAAAAAGCAAGCCAAACTCCATTTATCAGATGTGTAAAGGTGTTCTAAAATTATGACTCTCGTGTACCCTGAAATGAGTAATCAAGAGTTGATTTGGGGAATCATGAGCTAACAGGCACCTCTTCATCCCTCCATGTCTCCCTTTGGAAAGTATTTTTCTCTAATAAACTTCTTTCTTTGCTTGCATAGAAGAACATGGACTCCTGTTTTGCCACTCCTACTAAATCGAAGGAAGAATTGCAATTTAAGGAACGTACTGGAGACATTTTCTTGATGACCACATTTAGGGAGTAGTCTGGATACAGTTAAAACAATGGAAAACCAACAATCTTTAATAAACAATCACTCTTCTGACCCCTAAATGTGCCTCTCTCAGGGGGAAAAAATGTTTAATTGGGCTTCATCTTAGTTCCACATATTCTATTTTGTATGAAGCTCCATTTTCTCTTTAAAGTATATAAGGACACTTCAACATCTATAGTGTGCAACTTTATAAAATGGTAATGCAATGACAAACCAAACTCCATCTTGTTTGTATTCCTGCTTGTTTCAAAGCTAGAATTTTTTTTTTTTTTTTTTTTTACATTTCCTATAATTATATTTTATTAATTTTCATAAACATTTACAGAGATTTTGGGCTTCCACTCATTCATTGTTGCACTATTCTCTCTACCCTCCTCCCAGTTTGTTCTTGTCCAAATGCCACAGTGCTTGTCAAAGCCAGTTCTGATTAATCTTCTTTGTCAGTGTATCCTTTGCCATTCCCTATCACTCCTCCCTGAGAGAGACTTCACCCTGAGTCATAAGGAAAAGGGGACGGCGTATTCTCTTAGCTACTTCCTGCTGAAAAGGGACGCTGTGGGTTTCAGGGTGAAGATCTTCTCTCACTACTCTAAAGGGCCCCTTTGGCAGTAGGAAACACATAGACTATTATGGAGATTGATTTTGGAATTCAGATGCACTCTTATTGATTGTGCTTGGCTGTACATGTACATATCCTTCAAGATGTATCATGGGGGTGTTGCAACCTAGAAGACACAAATTTGACTAACAAGTTATAAGTACATGAGTCCAAAAATTATGGAAAAGTAAAAGAAAAGATTCTTTCATTGTTTTACAAACCCTCCCCCAGGTCCCCTCCACCATGCAGCCCTCGTTCTAGTCTCCTGTGATGACAGAAACACCCAGTTACATCTCTCTTTTAAACGGTTCTCTCCCTCCTCTGTTTCAGTGCAGTATACATTATTGAACCCATCTTACTCAGTCTCTCCCCAACCCCAAGGACAGTCCCATTCTACAACAGTGGCATCATGTAATATTTGTCCTTTTGTGACTGGGATATTTCACTCAGCATAATGTTCTCCAGAGTCAACCATTTTGAATAATATTGCATGAGTTCCTTGTTTTTTAATGCAGCATAGTATTCCATTGTGCGAATATACCACAGCTTCTCTAGCCATTCGTTTGTTGATGGGCACTTAGGTTGTTTCCAACTCCTTGCTATTGTGAACAAAGCTGCAATGAACATGGGTGTGCATATATCTGCTTGGATGTCAGCTATGGTCTCTTCAGGGTATATTCCCAGTAGTGGAATTGCTGGGTCAAATGGTATCTCTATTTGCAACTTTTTGAGAAAGCGCCATACTGCTTTCCACAGGGGTTGCACCATTTTACACTCCCACCAACAGTGAATCAGGGTTCCAGTTTCTCCACAACCTCGCCAGCATTTGTTGCTTGCTGTTCTGTTAAATTTTGCTATTTTGACTGGGGTGAAATGATATCTCATAGTTGTTTTAATTTGCATCTCTCTTAGGGCTAGGGATTTTGAGCATTTCTTCATGTGTTTGTTAGCCATCTGAATGTCGTCTTCGGTGAAGTGCCTGTTCATATCCTGTGCCCATTTTTCTATTGGATTATTTACCTTTATCTTGTTGTGGTGCTCAAGTATTTCATAAATTCTGGATATAAGTCCCTTATCTGATATGTTATTACCGAATACTTTTTCCCAGTCAGTGGCTTCCCTTTTTACCCTACTGGAGAAAAAACTTATAACCTTTGTATCAATTTCAAAAGTTTGTAGAACAGACCATGTGGATAGACTTAATGAACAGAGAAAAGCCTAGAGCAGTATGCAAACATTTTTGCAAGAATGTGGCTATGCCAAGGCAAATCTGGGCAAGTCCAGGGAAGGTGAGTCAATTAGAAACTTAGTGAGAAATTCCTGTTTTTCAACTATAAATATTTTCCTTAGTTCTAGCAAACTGTAGCACTTTGAAAGTGCCTGGTTACTCTGGGTTACTATGATTCACAGATATGTGTCCCACAGTATGTCTTCTTTGCTTTTACTTTTAAGTAGACTTGTTCTTTTGTCTCTGACAGAATCAACTCAGGAGCACCTAACATCAACAACAAGGCCAACAAGATACAATCTGGCCTTTATATAATTAGTCCAAGAAAACCACAAAGCAAATATCAACAACCAAAAAAAATGCCATTAGAGTGGGGTGAGGAGAAAGGAGATTCTGAGTTCCAGGATGCTACATAAGATTAAATTCATTAAAGTCATAAATACTTCAAAAAACTAAAGAGAATCCTGTCTGAAGAATTAAAGGAAAGTGCAAGAATGCTATCCCATAAAATAAAATATTAATAAACAGACAGAAATTCCACATGCATAAATGTTGTTGTTGTTACGTGCTGCTGAGTTGCTTGCGACTCATAGTGATCCCATGTACAACAGCCCTAAACTCTGCTCTGTCCTGTGCCTATTGCACTGTCTCCGACACACCCATCCCGATTACCACAGTCACTGAATCAATCCACCTCATAGAGGGCCTTCCCCTCCTGCATTGTCCCTCCACCCTCCCAAGCATGATGTCCCTCTCCAAGGAGCAGTCCCTCCTTACAACATGTCCAAATTATGTTAGACAAAGCCCCAGAATCCTTGCCTCCAAGGAGCTGTCTGGTTTGACCCTTTCCAGGATGAACCTGTTTGTCTTCTGAGCAGTCCATGGTACCCTCAATACTCTTCTCCAGCCCCACAGCTCAAAGGCATCAATTCTCCTTCTATCCTCCCTAGTCACTGTCCAACTCTCTGACACATGACAAGTGATTGCAAAGACCATGGCTGTATCAGATGCACCTTAGTCTCCAGAGAGATACCACTGCTCTACAGTACTTTGGAGAGGTCCCTAACTGCATAAATACAGAATTAAATATAAATTCTGCAGTTGAAAAACACCAATACCTAAAATGAAAAATTCACTAAGTGACTTTACCAGCAGATTTGAGTTAGCAGAAGAAACAGCAAATACACAATGAAAAACAATGAAGAAAATTAGAATTTCAGGGACCTTTGTGATACTGTTCCATATGTAAACAAATATACATGAGAGTTCCATAAGGTGAGAGAGAAATGGGCACAAAAAATATATTCTGCAAACAAAAAATGCTGCTGACTTTGTGGAAAAACTGAAATCCTTATTCATTGTTGATGGGAGTGTAAAATGCTGTAACCACGATGGAAGGCAGTATGGTGCTTTCTCAAAAAGTTGCAAACAGAGATACCATTTGACCCAGCAATTCCACTACTGGGACTATACACCAAAGAAACCATAAACACCACCCAAGCAGATATATGCACACCCATGTTTATCACAGCTTTGTTCACAATAGCAAAGCGTTGGAAACAACCTAAATGCCCATCAACAAACGAATGGATAGAGACGCTCTGGTATATTCACACAATGGAATACTAAGCTGCATTGAAAAACAAGGAACTCATGAAACATTATACAAAATGGTGACCTTGGAGGACATTATGCTGAGTGAAATATCTCAGTCACAAAAGGACAAATACTGCATGGTGCCACTGATGTAAAATGGGACTGACATCGGGGTTTGGGAGAGACTGAGAAAGATGGCATAAATTAAGTATACTGGATTAAAACAGAAGAGGGAGAGAACTGTTTAAAAGGGATATATGATTAGGTATTATTGTCAGACAGACGTCCAGAATGAAGGCTGCATAGTGGAGTGGACTTGAGGGGAGGGACATATAGCAATGCAAGAATTTTTCTTTTACTTTTCAAAGAGAAGAGCGAACTGGGGGGAAGGGGGAGGGGCAGGGAGAATAGTGCAACAATGAATGAATGGAAATCTCTGGAATCTTCTGAATGGAAGTCTCTGTAAACTTTCATTAAAATGAATAATAATGCCGGGGAAGGAGGGACAATCTCCTCCTGTACCAGTCAGATCTGATTTGACGGTACATGCACACAAAAATAATAAAAATAAATAAATAAATGAATAAAAATTTAAAAAAAGAAAGCACAAATAGACAATCTTAAATTAAAAAAATGAATA